GAATAGGCATCGGCGGTGAGGTCGGGGGGAGTCAGCAAGGGTTGTCTCGCCAGGGTGGTCGACATGGGGTGGGCACTGCGCCGTCAGCGTGAGGCTGTCGCGGACCATGTGCAGGACACATTCAGGGCCCGCTCCCGTCTCTATCGGTACCTGGTTGTTGGCCAGAAGGTCGACAGCAAGGGGGTCATGATGCTCAGTTGCACGTTTTGCAACAAAGTTTTCCAAGGGACCCATTTTCAGGCCACGAGGCACTTCTCGCTGACAAACTACTGCAAGGACGTCAGCGACGAGGCGTTCTACGAGATTGCTCGACGGACTGAACAGAAGTTCGAGGCCAATCAAATGGAGAGGGTTTCCAGGTATGCAGCGGAGTGCGGACTCGATGTGCCCAGCACAGGTGGTGTAAGGGGAGGAGAGGCGGGGCGGCGTCCGACGAAGGGAGGGGTCGGGGGAGATGGTGGGCATGGTGCGGCAGACCCCACTTTGGGTGGTGGAGGCGGTGAGACGGAGGAAGGCGTGATCCACGTAGATCGCGAGGCCCGTGGCCCGGGTGAGGAGGGAGTCCCGGAACGGGAGGACGTGCCAGAGTTTTATTCAGGCACTGGGGAGAGGTTGAAGGACTAGCGGAGGCGAGCAGGCAAGGGAGCTGCAACGGAGGGGAGGAAGTGATCCGGCTGCCACCCCAGCAAGGAAGAGGCTTCGCCAGCAGAAGGTGACTGATGTCTACGGTGGCGAGTGGGTTGCTCGCCACAAGAAGGCATTCCTTCGCTGGCTGTATTCCAGCGGGGTCTCCTTCAATGGCTTCTGCAACCAGGCGTGGAAGGCATATCAACAGGTGCTTCTTGAGCAGCTGGCAGTTCCCCGCGCGCAATGCTCCCCAACCACTACGAAATTGCGAGTATGCAGGCGGTGGAGACCCACCGTGCGGAGTTGGCGGAGGAGTTGGAGGAGGTGAGGCAGCCATTCTGGGTGACTAGTGCCACCCTCCTTTCCAATGGGAGAAAATCACGAGACGGGAGACCAATCGTGAATTTCCTTGCTGCTGGCTCTCGAGGGGTCGTCGTGTACACAACGATCAATCGAGAGGGCGAGGAGGACGATGCAGTGCACGTCCATCGGAGATGGGTTACCATTTTCCACAAGTTCAGCTTCGGCGGGCCACAGCGGATCAATGCGATATGTACTGACTCCGCTTCTGCCTATGTGGGGGCTGCGAGGGCATTGACCTCGCCGTCCATACCTCCTGCACTGAGGAGGATCACTTGGCTCCCATGCTCCGTCCATGTCTGCAACAAATTGTTGTCAGACATGGGGATGAGTTGCGACGTGTTTGTGGATGCGATCACACACGCTCGTGTGCTGGTGGTGTTTTTCAAAACCCACCAGACAGCCCTTCATTTTTTTAGGATGCGCAGCCCTGGCAAGGGGCTTATTCTTTCTTGCGAGACGCGGTTCGCATCTGCTTACTCCATGCTGGAGAGGCTGTTGGCCCTACAGGACACTTTGCAGGACATGATGCGAGGGGACGACGCGCGGGCTTTTGCTTCCATCCCGTGGTCCGCCGATGTGTGCGTCATGGCGCGTTGGGTGCGCCGAAAGATCAGATGGGATCCATGGTGGTAGAGGGTGGCCACTATCGTCCATATCATGCAGCCTGTCATGGAGTTGCTCAGGCGGATGGATCGTGGAGGACTGTACATGTTACTCATGATCGAGTGGACGCAGAATCTTGTCCGCCGTGTCACAGTCGCATGCGCGCCTTTGGGGAAGTCGTTCGCCGAGCGGATCATCAGGCGTTTGCAGGCTCGCACACAGCACATGCTTGAGCCGGATCACTGCGTAGGGTTCTTACTGAATCTTTGCAGGCAACACGTTCGCTACTTTTCGGGGCAGGTAGAGCGGTACGATGCTTGGCTTGTGGGGCAAGCCAAGAGGTACATTCCGACGCAGACGGGATTCGAGTTGGAGGGTGCGGCGTACATCCTTGCATGTCCGCAGTTTGAGGACTTCCACATTCAGCAAGGCAGGTTCGGGGATTGGGGCGGGCCGGAGGGGCGTGCTTGTGGGCGCGCATGCAGCGGTGACAGCGAGACAATTGAGTGCGCGTCTTGGTGATCTCAGTTCGGGTCGGGCGTGCCAAAGTTGCAGCGTTGCGCTCTTCGGGTGATGCACATGTGGTCTTGCACCTCTCCAGCGGAAAGGAACTGGGCAGTCCACGAGGGCATTCACACAAAGAAGCGCAACCAGTTGGCCTTCGAGAAGGTCGTGCAACTCGTTGAGATCACCGCAAATGTGCGGTTGACTGAGTATCGGCGGGCTGGATGCAGTTATGTGCTGTCATGGCAGCGGGACGAGGGCATGCTGGATTGCCAGGCAGGACTCGAGTTGGAGCCTGTGCGCTCGGGGACTCACAGGGGGATGGCGGAGGAGGAGATCGCCCATTCGGTTGCACTTATTACCCAGGATCCCATCAGGGCGTCCGCACCACCCTCGGCTGATGCTGTTTTCGATAGACGTGATTGCATTTTTCGTCCCTACCCTAGGGAGGACGACTCAGACGAGGAGCCGATACCCGAGGCGGCAGATGACCCTGCGCTCCGCATTCCCCGGGATATCGACGAGACGCACGAGGATCCCGACTCCAAGGAGATGATGGCACACTGCACGACGGGCGGCGGACCAGGCGGAGAGGGAGATGCTGGGGGGAGACGAGGACTTTTGGGGCCCATTCGGTGAGGTCGCTTCCACTGGCGGCCCAGAGGCGCAGGCGACGACCCCCACTCCGACGAGGCGGGATTCGTCCATGCCGCCACCTCCTGCTCCGAGTCCTGCACCACCATCGCCCGTCTCGCCACATCAGCCGGATAGGGAGGAGTTGGGGTCCTCTTTGCCTCAGCGCGGCCTTCTCCACAGAGGCGGGGCAGTCCGCAAGCTTAGGTTACGGTCACCTTCCCCGGGGATATTGCAGGAGGAGGGGGCACCTTCGGCAGCAGCAGTGGAGAGTTCAGTGGCACCAGCAGTGGTGCCGAACGCTACGATCGCAACCACGGTGAAGGAGATAGCAGCAGCAGCAGCAGCAGAAGCAGCATCAATGCTGGATGAGATGGCAACATCAGTGCTGGAGGAGGTGCAGCAGTGGAGGGGCAGGTGGCAGCAGCAGGAGGAGCAAGTGGAGGAGCAGCAGCAGTGGAGGTTGAGGTGGGAGCAGCAGTGGAGGAGGAGGAGGCACCGTCGGCAACTGCAGTAGAGAAGGAGATAGCCGCACAGGCCGAGGTGCAGCGTGGGGGCGATGACGAGCGGCTGATGCAGCAGTTCCTCACGGAGGAGCTCGGTCCGGCCATAGCGGGTATGACCCCGGGTGTGGCGAGGGGGTTTGGGATTTCAGATTCGGAGATGGGGACCCACTTAGACTTAGATTTGTCGATGGGCCTTCCACCTTGTTGCGGCGGGGCGACATCGACAGACCGGGCTCCATTGAGGGACGAGGCGCCAGGACACACTTCGACGCAGACCGCGAGAGAGAGGACGACGACTGAGTCTCCAGATGCAGCACGCGACATCATGGAGCGAGAGAGGGCTAGATTTTGACATCGATTGACCTGCGTGCTCAGGCATTCGAACGGGCCGTAGAGGAGGTCAGGCGTCGAGAGATAGGGGGGGATTGTGTGCAGGGTGGGGTGGTGGCGGGGGAGGACGTTGCGGAGGGAGTGGCAGCAGAGCCGGTACCCGAGGATATGCCGGTGGAGAAGAGGCAGCGGACGTTGCTGTGGAGGGACGGCCACAGGCGGTGGATGAGGCTGTGCAGGCAGAACAATGGCGAGTCGAGGGGGCTATAGACGCACGGCGCGAGGTCCAGGAGACAGCGACGGGTACAGTCATTCCGTTCTCGTGCCTGCACTTGGCTCAGGCCCGACAGCCGCAGGCGGTTCAGATGGCAGTGCATGGTGTGCCACCGCCCGTTATCACGGAGTTGGGGTCCGAGCCGGTGGTTGTGCCCCCACGTCTTCCTAGCCACTTTGCTCCGCAGGAGGTCCGTCATCCTTTGGATGCAGAGGAGTTGGCGAGAGAGGTTGTGCGCAATGTTACTCGTTTGGACCGGCGCATCTTCGACCGGAGGCTCGAGCATCCACCATGGAAGTCGATCTGTTCGGTTCCATGGGGTCCTGCGTTGCCCGTGTGGTCTGGGTCTACCTCCACTGAAGGACATACCGCGGGACATGTTCCAGGGGTTTCGGGTGGCATGACGAAGACAGCGCCACGAACAGGAGACATGCCACCCCCTCCTCCTAGAGCACCTGCAGGTGATCCATCACCGTCGCCCATAGGCAGAGGCTCTCGATCCCCACACACGCCAGGGAGATCTAGGATTCGTGACACGACGGTTGTTCAGCAGGACGTGTGTGACACGACGATATTTGGGAGGACAGATATAGATTTGGATTCCACCCGCCGTGTCACGGAGCACACTGCACGCCTTCAGCCGGGCTTGGGAGGAGGAGGCGCTAGGACGACTGCGACGAGGGAGGTACCGGCTTCAGGTTGTGAGCCTCAGCGAGGTCGTGGCAGAGGAGTGTCCACCGAGACCTTGGAGTACGCTCTGAGAGTAGCGACGCGTGGCATGCAGGAGCAGACTCCACGCAAGCGTGGAGTGCCTCCTCGTCCACGCCCCATGCCTGCAGAGGGACGCGCAACACTTGGAGAGAGTTCGGGGGCGGAGGGGTTGGGATGCCTCGTGGATCCCGCTGTGAGCAGACCATTGCAGAGGCTAGTGTGAGGGTTGTTGTGTTGAGGAAGGGAGGAGGCCCAGTCACCATTGAGGAGGATGATCCTTATATGGATGCGGCTGTGCGGAATGCAGACGAAGACTATGAGGGCGAGGAGGGGGGAGAGGCGGATAGCAAGAGCGGTTCCGATGGTGACGTTGACGACAACTACCATGAGCCCCCACCTTCCCCAGGACCCCCACCGACACATGCATCTAGACGCTCCGCTACACGGACTTCTTCATCCTCACGATGGAGGAAGAGGTCGACATCTGGCACTCGAGGGGGCACGAGGAGACACAGCAGGAAGGGGAAGAAGGGTCGTTGACCGATGAGGCCAACACTCCGCTTCTCCCCTACTCGCACTGTACGTCATCATGTTGTGCGGTTGTAGTTTTTTTGGTAGTCAGAGTCGTCTCGTCTTGTCTCAGTATTGTCAGACACTCAGTGGTTGTGTGCGTGCTTAACTTGTTGCTGTGAATGATTTTGGTAGCAGTAGGGTGTTCGTAGAGTATGATTTTGGTGCCAGTAGGGTGTTTGTAGAGTATCGTCGGTTGCAGCAGACTGAGTTCAGATTGTACAGTAGTTTTTTTTCTTGTATCATCTAGGCAGCTACGACACGACTTGTAGACTATTGTTTCTTTTATTTTTTTCGACATGTGGTGCCAGTGCATTAGCAGTAGAATACATTGTATCATGTTGCATTTTGCATGTGTGAGATTAGTGTCAGCCTGTCAGGTACTTCGCATTGTTCACGACTTTTCATGTACATCACATTTTCTGTTACGAGTGATGCACGTTGCCTGCCCAATTTTTTGTCGGTGTGGGATTTTATATCCTTAATCGTTGTTCTTATTTTCAATTTCATTTCTTGCATTTTTTTTCTTTTAATTTATTTATGGCTTCGAGAGTTCGGTACTTGTTTTTTTTTTCTATCTTATTTGTTGATTCTATTTGCATTGAATGGAACACTAACTGATGTTTCGGGGGGTGCACAAGGTGGGGGCTTTTGTGGTGGGGTGGGGGGGGGGT